AGTCCTGACCCCGAATGAAGGCGTGTTAAGAAAAACCTGTATAATGTAACATTCTTGCGCGCATTTTCAAAATGAGCCAATGAGAAGATTTTGCAATAAATGAAAGTTTCGCTACGACCAATCACAAAGTAGGACATGACACTTGAGTGACAGTAAGGTATCTGCGGGGTGTTCATTGCTAGGGTCGCGTGTCAACCATTATTTGTCGGTATTGCTCACGTTTTCGATCGTAAAACGCGCAAGACCACTTCGTGGAACACATCCACTCCAGGCTACGTCAAATGTGTAGAATTTAGCCGTGGAATATATTTTGGTCAGCGCTGTAATTGATTTAATAGATTYTGTCACATTTTCCCATCATTTCTTTTTAACATTTGTATTGAAGCGAAAAATCTAGCATTCGGATTCTTCGGATTACATTTGTGAATTTGTAAGATTGAAGGTCATTCAGTATTTTAGAAAAAAAAAGAAAAAAAAAAACAGCCTGGACCCTATAATAAACTAATCAAGACAATAAAATACATATTTTTTTTTATTGATTTTTATAGTCAAATGTTGACAGTGGTGGTTGTAAAAGTATTCTATGTAAAATTCTTATAACATTATCTAGCCATGACTATTATGCTCTGTCGACTTGCTCTTGATCCTGTGATCTTTAGCCAATGAAGTTCATCACAACAAGATGGAGGATGACACTTGCAAATATGAAGTCACCAAAGGCTCTTTCTGGAGAAATTCCCTTGAATTCAGCAAAGTTGGCTGGATTGCTCTGGACTCTCAGGCATACTGTTCAAAAGAAATATCAATAGTATATAAAATACATGTATAATATTTAGTGTGAAATATTTTACTGAAAACAAAAATTAATTAAACCCCTACAAAGGTGAAGAACTTGAACATGTGACTTGTCAATTGAACATAATTTCAATCTTTAAGCAGCTGTGTCCAAGAAGATCTTTATTCATTTTGTGAATAATAGTCTCCTTCACAGTAACCTGCGCCATCTTGAAAGGTAGCCGTGCCTTTACATCGAAGCAAGACAACCATTGAGCATGCAATTATAGATACCTGTGAATAATTGTCTGTAGGTATGAAAGAAGATGTCTATCATTGCACGCTCAACTGTCTACTCGCTTCGATGCAAAGGCATGGCTACCTTTCAAGATGGCGCAGGGAAACATGAAGAAGACTATTGTAATACTTTTTGATTTTCCTAGCCCTGCTCTTATTCTCTCTTGCTGTTTACTGTTGAACAATTCTGAAATTCCCAAATGATAATTATTCCAAGGAGCTGCCAAAGCTGATGGTAACCAATGCAAGAAAGACTTATACAAAAATCTTCACCTCACAATATCTATATGTAATTTTGCAGTTGTCTTGATTTTCAATATCTTTCACTTGTGTAATACAATCTTTCTTCTTACTATACATGTCAGACATGATACATCAGCTGATCAACAGTTTCATATTCAACATTCTAAATGATTGCAACAGGCCAGATATAGTGCATCTGAGCTTGTTAATATTTATTAGATAAGAATTTTAAGTCTATATTGTCTTTCTCACGGTTAGCCTTATCATCTCTTCAAATAAAGATCATCCATGAATTTCACTTGAGAYTAAACAGTGAGAGAGACTTGCAGCAAGTCCAACTGCTTTTGATAAAATAGTCAAACTAATCTATTTGCATATTTAGTCATAACATTCACTGATATAAACAATAAATAACACAAATAAGTTGGATTGACAAATAGTCAAAACAAAATGTAGTTTCAACACTAATTCTATATTGAATGTAACCAAGGCTGACGTGTCTGGATTCTAGMACGAACAAGATTTATACTCCTGCACGTGAAAAAGCAAACTTGAATAAAAAYTTTGCACAATAACATGGTTCAGTAATGAAAGCAAATTTAAGATGCAGAAAAACATCTTTTTCATAGTTTCTATACGAGAAATTAAGACTAACCTGCTAAGACGAAAGATCCTACACATGAAATAAAGCCAGAAAGAAACGAGTTGAAGGGAAAAGTACCAACTAGACAACAATATCCAAATTGTATAATTCCCGTAAACATGATGTAAAGTAAGTAAGCATCGATGATCTTGAGTCTTGAAGGTGTCGTCTGTGTATATTCATCGTAAAAACGTACAATGATGTCCTTAAGATTACTAAATCCACTCATTTTTCTGGCTCTCTTCACAAAACACAAGAAATCTCGAACAATGATGTGGACGAAGAGGAAGGTTCGCAATGCCTGATGGGAACTTATCGATCTCGCGCAAAGTATCATGGGTATTGTTTGGCGCGCAAATACGATTTGTTTCAACGAGAAAAAGAAATCGATTTTTATCGATATTTTCCACAAATTTAAAGGAAGATGTCKGCTAATGATTCACAAATAGGTCCGCCATTACGATCACGTCCAAGCAGCTACGATTACTTCGACATTGACGACGTTATCGCAACACAGGAAAAGATTCCCTGCAGACTCGAAGTTCAAATTCACAATCTCGGCTTTCTAGACCCGAGTTCTGAAGGAGARCACTTAGCTTCTGGATCTAAACAAGAGCTACCTTATTGGCTAGCCAAGGAACTGTGTAGCAGAAGAAGAAGAGTGGTTTCTGTAGAGCTGCCAAAAGTTTATAAAGACGCCTATCGAGAGATTTTGAAAGCTGATGCTTGCGTAGTTGACCTCCATAAATATGGACCACATTTTTATGATATTGGGACAAAACTGATGCATTTTGATGATGATGAGAACTCTATGGTAATAAGAAGTCTACAAGAGGTAAAAAATTAGTTTGTTTTTACATAATCAGAATTGCTATAAATTTTTTTAATATTACTTTTATTGTTTATCACAACAGTTGTAAAAGTACTCATCCTAATTTTCAGCCTAACCTTACTGAATAAATTGTTTCATGGTTTTCACTAGCATTTCTTTCTTCCAGACATTCATCAAAAGGTTTAGAAAGATAATGGATTCATCACAAAATTCACCCCATGAAGAAACGTCAGCACTGACAAGTAGACTTGACAACACTGAAAAACAGATATTCGCTGCTGGGAAAAAAGGAATTAAAGATTTCCTTCTTTGGGAGGCAGGTCAAATGTCAAAGCTTACRACATCTGAAACTGTTGTCAGTCATAGAAAAAGAAAGAGATCAGCTCTTGAATAAGAAGCCTGACAAATAACTTTTTTTTAATCTTTCTTTTTCGGTGATATTACCAAATGGACCAAATTGATTTTAGAGAAACTTTCTTCGTTGTGAATGATAAACTAAGCAAAAAACATGCCTTGCTCACTATGCTGTACAAGGTCTGTGAGCAAATAATATGGTAACTAAGTTTCCACTGGACTCAATGAAAACTGCATTCTAAGGTGACTCGAATGTACCCTCCACCTACAAAGCAGTCATTCTGGACAAACGTAAGCAGAATTACATCAAATAGAAAGTAGTAAATGGCTAATGATATCCTTTATCTAATACATGCATCAGTACTTTCAGAGAACAATGCATCCGCCATCTTGAAAAGTGGGACTCGAATCACTAAATTGTAACTCCTAAAGAAATTAAAAGCTTCTCAGCTAATGTCAAGTTAATATAATACGATTTAAAGGGTTACTTGGACGAAAATTTCGAATCATTAGAAAAGACTTGGAAATTAAATAGACCTATCCATATGGGTCTAATAATCATGAAGCAACAGATTTCAAGAAGATATTGATACAAATCCTTGATAATTTGGACAAAAAATTTTGGAGTAGATGACGTCATTTACTCCATCCTTTTGTTCTTCCATCTTTTGAATCAAAATTTCTCTGATGTGGGATAATTCCAAAACAAATATTTTCCCGTAATTGTTTTTAATAGATATCAATGAGTCATATATTTGTATTGCTTGAAGTTTTAAAATAAGACAATTTTCATGCAAGTAGCACTATAATCATGGTAGATTACATGTAGTTGACTTTAGCAACTACGAAATTTGTTCTAAGGCACAACATAGTGATTCGGATCTCACTTTTCAAGATGGCGGACACATTGTTCTCCGTACTGATGTATGTATTGAGAGAAGTAATGTTTGTGCAGAAAACGTCTGGTCTACATGCATTGCTTAGACTCATAGATAACCTTGTGACCTATAGGGATGTCTWCTAGTCTGTGTGGGGTGAAGTATGGATAGGGCTAGTAGCATGCATGCTTAACATTCTGGTAGGCAGCTAATGAAAGAAAAGCCATTTTGTATGCTATAAMTCAACAAGTTGTGGTAAAATAAGGTTTATTCATTCATTCTCTCTATCCATTGTACAAGACACTGTAAAAACCCATAAAAATTGTCTCACCTTACAAAAYATTCAATAATAAAATATAGTTTAAAAAATGACTCCTTTACCAATGTTATAATCTTTCTTTTCCTCTCCCCTAAATTATAATTATACATTTGATATAAATTCTAATTTTCAAAGGCATTCTGCATTTCGTTTCCTTGATCTTATTTATCTTTGCCATTATTTTTCCTATTCTAGAAYTACAAACCATTTTTTTCTACCTTGTAATAATCAAATAATTCAAAATACAATTCAAAAAAGTTAGAAATTTTCAAGAACCAAAACATGTCAATAGCATTGAAAAATTTAGTCTAAAGTATGATTAATATCAATAATTCATTAATACACGCAGGTGTAAATTACAATTATTATTTACACAATTTCTATAYTTGTAGACACTCGTACAAGCTGATACCTGTGTACAAAAACTTAAAATATAAAAAATTTAAATATAAATTCAATGTTAATGCAAAATTTTTCATATAAATAATAAAAGAGTTCCTTATTTATTTGGTTATTGGTATAGTATGGAGARTAAAGCAAAACCTAGTGGAGATCATGCCTAGGCACAGTATCCCTATCATACTCAACTCTAACCAAACTATCAATCAATAAACCTTGCTAGTAATAAGATAAAACCTTAAAAAACACCTACACATGTGGAAAGTTTGTACACATGTTATTGAAATTCTAAAAAGATGTCCCATTGACTGGTGTGCTTTCATTCTTTGCCATTGATAATGTGTTTGCAACAGGTAATGGGACAAAGAAACGAACAGAAAGGGCTGCACCTAAAACGAGAAAGGACAAGAGAAAYGGGACAACTCGAATAAGGACGAGTTTTCCTGTAATCTTTCTGTCTGGCATTTGCCTGTCGAAATCTTCAACAACAAGTGCAGGGTCATCTGTTAACAAGAACAAAACAGAAGTCAAATACAGTGTGATAGCTGCAGTTTGCTGAAATTGGAGAAATTTWATGAGAAGGGCAAAATAAACAAGTTATCTTACCTGCTTCAGGTTCTTGTTGCAGTAAGCCCTTAGCACCTCCATTGCYATGTTTGACTTCAACTTGTTCATTGTYKTCACAACCCTTTTCTGGTTTTGAATCAAGTAGTTGATCATCCACATTTGAATCTCGAGTCTTTTCCAATGGATTTTTCTTCCATCTCTTTGATGTCCTCCTTACAGCCTAAAAATATAATAGAACCATACCATTCAAAACAAGTGTCTTGAATCACTTTACCTTGCATATAAGTCACCAGCAAAAAACAATAGTTGAGTTTCGCGATCTCTTTTATACTGTGTTAGCCTCAATTGTGTGCTAAAATATTCAGAAATGTCAATAAAACTCGTGAGATTCCAGACTATTTCCATTGTCTTCTATACTCACRAATCTCTTGCATTTGCACGGGGTGTTGTGGATAAATGAATTTATTACATGGTTTTGAGGCTAACACAGCATAAAAGAGATCGCTAAAAGGGTTATTGGTGACATAGATATACTACATGTTAWATCTGCACCATACAGGTATACAAATGCAAACCCAAATCTTCTTTGCTTTCAGAACCTCATGAATAACTACATATGTAATATATGCCAGCTTAGTCTCAAGAAAAGATTAAAAGCAGAGTTTAAAAGGAGAAGCTCGCCTGAATGCCCAGAAACTAAAGAAACCAGCTAACAAAGATATCAAGTGACARTGTTCATGATGCTTTGATGAGAAAGGCTATAATGCTGGTAATGATTAATTAAAATTGTTCCTTACCAACTCTGATTGTCGTTTCCAGTTTGTACARGAAAGGAAAACAACATAAGTAAAASYCTATAATACAATGAAACAATACATTATCATCACAAAGTTATAAAATAAATCAGATTTCTATTACTTATCAAGCAATACCTGTATGAAGACCCCAATGCCAATACCCCACCATACTCCTATAATACAAATATATAAYACGGTGATCAATAGTTCAGGTAAAATGGTCTATATCCTAAAGAACTAYGAGGTAGAAGCTACATGTACTATAAATAATACATCACTGCACAGTGAGACATTGCAGCGTTTCTTAGAAAACTAAGAATGGCTGCATTAGGAGACTAAGTGAGACAGACCAGTTAAAGGCACAGTGTATATAGTAAAATACTAACCCAAAAGGCCTTGATTCAWGACAATGGCAAAGACTACACATARCGGGACCGCAACMAGGTCATGGCTAACAAAATTTATAATCATGCCAATCTTTTGTCGACCACAACCACGAATTGCCCCAGAACAAATACCCTGGAAAATAAATAGAATGTTAGCTTGTCAATCACATACAAATTATGGCTAATCACATTAAGGTCCTCCTTTTATAAGAGTGACAGCTTAGAAAATATTTAATTCATGGACAATACCATAACTGACTATCCAATGAATTATTYAAGAATTATTTTTATGTATTAAATATTGATTGACAAACTTTCAATATTTCAAGTGATGAGTTTTTGTATTTTATTCTTAGAAATATTTACCTGAACACAATCYTGGATGAAAAAGAAAACAACCATTGGTATGGCGTAAACAAAAAGGTTGATTACTTTTCTGAAACACAAAAATATTACATAATATATAATATTATATTATTGCAGTTTGTAGTAGTTATGGAGATATAGAGGATATTACATGGGCGCGCGGAGATACGGATTTTATCTTCGAGTGTTGAAAAGATCTTATCACATAATTAAATATGAAAGCAAATTATGTCGGAAAATATCTTTTTTCTTACTTCCACTATATAGAGAAACCTCGAATGTGTTATTTTCACTAGTGAAAATAACATGTTATTTTCACTAGTGAAAATATCAATTTTACGTAATGGAGAAATATAGGTATTTCATAGATAGTTATATGATAAGTTTATTTATGCAATGCACATCAATTTAGAAAAGTTTTCACATTGTTGTCGTCATTTTTGCCTCTTTTTATACCATTTTTATCATATAGTACAAACATGTAAGGCAACTAAGTATTTTATAAGATAAACAATATAATACAACATAAACTTACTCATCATCAGAGAAAATCATTGCAATGTACTTTCTGCATGTTAAGCTGACAATGACAACAATGGATGAGCAAATCACTAAAAGAAAGACCATCAACCATGCATTAATTTGYGCAACATTAATTGAGCTATTTGCCTTAATTGTTACATGGCAAAGTTATGCCTACAACAACTGCATAAATGAACTTTCAACTCAGTAAGAAAGTAAATAAGTTAAATAATAGGAGAAACACCTACAWCCCATTGCCATTGATAGTTTGGTGGCTAGCACAGCTTGTTCAGGATTGTTAGCACCCAAGAAATTTCCTACTAGTATGCTTGCAGATATAGAAACCCCATACGGAACCTGCACAAATATTTACATTAATTCATTAGAAAAAAAGATTCAATCCATATATAATAGTCTGAATATTTGCTCCTCAAAGTTGAGTTGGTTACAATAAAAATTCAAATGAGAGTGAATTCAAACTATGATAATATTAGTTCAGCACAGTACCATAAATGAAATCATTGTCAGCTGCATCATAATGCCGTATGTTGCTACAACGGTTTCACCAAATGATCCTAGAAAACAATAATGTAAAATAATATTATACATCCACTTCATAATACAAATAGACTAATAAACTTTATCTATAAAACAACTAACTATTAATAAAATGTAATATTRTTGTTCATTTGTAAAATGTAATATTGTTTGTGTCATTTGCAATGCTAAAAGTGTATTGTACATGACCATCCAGTATTAATAGACTGTTAAGTCACAGATATGCATGACGCGGACTGATGCTGCCAATCAAAACCACTGGCAATTGCTTTTAAACCAAAGCTCTTGAGATAAGTCTAATTAGTGCTGTATGGTCTAATAAGTTTTCTTACCTAAAATAAATGAGCCAATTTCAAATGTCCACCACTCCATACATATCATTAATAAACCAGGAAATGAAAGGCTTAAATACTGTTTCCAGCCATAAAGACATTCAGTGGACCATCCTAACATTACAAGAATATTCATTTATTGATTATTAGTTATCAAGGAAAAATTGTCTTATGATATATATATGGTTGTTTGCTANNNATTCTACCTCTCCATGTCTTTTCATGCAGTTTCCTTATCTTAATAAACAACAAGAGTAAAGCCATTCTTATATAGCTGACTAGCATTAGAGCAATTGCTATACCYCTAAAAGGGAAAAGATTGGTGTCAATAGTCAAGCATAATATCATGTCTAAAAGTATTGAAATCTCATGGTTTCAATGTGAAGCACACAAATAAAACTTTTTTAAGTAAATGTTTTTTTTTTTGGCCAGCACCATAATATAATTATAAGTTTTAATAATAGTTTTATAAAATGTGTAAGGGTCCAGAATATAAAGTATATAATATATATTCAGAATATATGGACTGCGTAGCACTATAGGAAATACATGAAATAGAAACAATGGGTAGCTATTAAGTGCTTAGAGTATCCTTCTATCTTGTCTCTATAACTTTCCATTGTTTCTATTTCATGGAATGTAGTACTTTATTGAAAACTGGACTAATTTTTTATGCTTTTATGCTTGGAAGAAACTAGAGGTCAATTAGCGTGTGCTGCATTGGTACTTTTCTAAAGAAACAGTTGTGTATTTTATATATAAATTAAAATGTTATGTTAATTATTTGAATTTTTAGAAATGGTATTTTACCTAAAACCCTGTTTAAGGTATGTCACAATTAATAAGAAAAGACCAAGAGCACATATGTTTGTTACAGCACCAATTATAACAAGAGGTCGTACAATCCCCTGGGTTTGAAGGTATTTTATAAGCAACTGTGCTAAAAACTCTGCCTGAAAGAAAGAAGGAAATCAAACAACAGATTTAAAACAGAGCAACCAAAAGTGAAATGGTTTGGACTAGCTTGTTCAATAGTGAGGTGACATCAACRATGCAGTATGCGTCAATGAAGTAAATTATTAATATGTACCCATATCTCATACACTGTTTTATTGTCATTACTATATAATCAATAATGATATACTTACTGGGACCATTGGTAGCATTATTATCATAAATGTGTCACTCATCCTGCAAATAAGATAAAATAATTAATGGAATTATCATCCTTCTGAATTAGTTTAAACTCAGCTTAAAGTTTCTACTTACTSTGCAATATGACTTTCAAATCCAATAAATAGTAAAAAGTGCTGTGTTAACATCCATAACGAACAGACTAAGATTGCTGTAATAGCCAAAATAAATACTCCTCGTTGCAAAACAATACCAACAAGTGTATAGTTTTTTGCTCCATAAGCTTGCGCACACAATGTATCCACAGCAGTGGTCATGCCAATTGCTATTGAGTTTCCAAACACCATAATAATAGTATTGCTCAAAGATCCTGCAGCTAGCTCTGTTGCTCCAAGKTGTCCACAGAAGATAAGACATTGTGTATTTACAAGAAATGTGAAGAGATTTCCAAGAATTACAGCCCAGCTGAGTTGAAAGATTTGATAAATGAGGTTTTTTATATTTGGAGAAAACAGTCTGTTGCAGCAGTTCTGTGATTCTATAATAAGAATACAGAGTATTAAAACAATTATAATAACAATTAATAATGAAACAAACATTTTATCATTTCCATTATTTCTTACCAATTTTTTGTGTTGARTAGTCATCTTGTTCTGCTTGTAGATACATAACTGGGGGTGTTTTACCATTCTTGTGATTGGTTGATTCTACCTCCTCTCCATTTGCTAATGCAGTCATTTTGCAATCTGTACAAATACAATAGATATGTATATTAAAGAATCATAACCAACCGCCGTACCTTGCGCGCTCGTATTATTGTTTACATACGTTTAAATGAGTCAAGGATGCAATAAATTATAGATTGATAGTACCTGTGAGGTACTTGGTTAATGTATTTCTGTCCAAACTGAAAGGACGGAAGACGATTCGCGCTCACTTTAAGAAATCCTACAAATCCGCCATTTTCGTGTYCTCCTAAAATGGTACTTCGGCTCGCAAGGTACGGCGGTTGGTTATGATTCTTTAAGTAATACTAACATAAGTTCGATAAAATAATCCTGATGGTTTCTATACCCTTCACTTGCTTTAACCCATTTGAATCATCCATAAAGCAGGTTAATTATACAGTAAAAAGGTTTAAAAGCAAGACTATTTTGGCTAGTCATGTACAGTGCCACCCATTGAAATTTGAGCAGTTTTGAGATTGACAGTTCCCTCTTGTAAAGACCACCAAAAGCTTTTAAAAGTTTTGTCTACCAAATAGGATATGTTTGTTTTAGGGTTATGATCAGACACAGGATTGTATCAATTTCTTATGATTTAAGATAAATATCAGACTTATAAATGTAAATATTCAATTATAAGAGAATTTATAAAGGATATTAGGACCTCTTTCTATGTAAATAACTAATGAGAATCCTTTATTGAGGCTCTGCAATTATCAACATGGCCGCAAACAAAGAATACAGCACCAGCTGGCTGGCTCAATGTACCAGGGGATAGCCAATATTACAACGGGCTTTAGGACTGACTCTTGAGTCATGAGAAATTCTTGTTCATGGATAAAATAACATGCTTATTTACTTACTTGAGTCTTTTATTGCTAGTCTTATCAGCTTGTGATGAATAAACATGAATTTATGGTCTGCTGTGTCCATTTCTTTCAATATTTATAGTAACGGCGTCTGTGGGGGAAGTGTTGTGTGTCAACACAGRGGCGGCTGCTAAAGGAGGCTATATAAACTGACTGTAAATATGGAAAGAAATGGACACAGCAGACCATAAATTCATGTTTATTCATCACAAGCTGATAAGACTAGCAATAAAAGACTCAAGTAAGTAAATTATAGCATGTTATCTTGTCCATGAACAAGAATTTCTCACGACTCAAAAACAATACTTCAATTTTGAATTTTAATTAANGAAGAATACCTTTTGCTGTCTATAAATGTGGAAAAAAAGCCAGTATTTGAGCTGATTTCATGTTGAAGCTGTACTGAATAATCATCGAGCTGGACTGGTGAGGAAGGCGAGACTATTTTCGATGCAAAATCGTCTTAAAATGATAACTAGCAAGCTTGAAACTTCACAAATGCAAAATCCTAGTTCAATTCTTCAATGAGAAAGCTTTTGGTATTTCTTGTTGATAGTTTTTGAGTACTTTTTTCTCTGTTATCGGCGAAGTACCCGCCATTTTGGATTCTTGAGAAAATTTTCAGTTCGAGAGAGACTGCAAACTAATAGGCTTCCTGTGGTTCGAGAGAGACTGGAAACTTCGACCCGACAACGCGAAACGACCCGACAGAAAAAAGGTAAAACTATAGCTGGCTAGCACAGCTAGCCCGCTAAAAAAACTCATTTGCAAATCCTCAAAACTATAGATGTTTCTTGATTTTGATTAAAATCTCATGATTTTGACTAATACTGGGGTACATGTACTTGAAAACATTATGTATCCATTATTTAGGGCATCGAGTAAACTACAGTTTATCTATTGTATATTAACCACAGCATCTTTCTAAAGGTTGAAACAATGAAATTTGACTATAGACTCACGTACTTCTCTTTCAGCCAATACGAAACAAGGAAAAGTGAACTTTGACACTAAAACAACTCCATTCCTTTTATTTCCGAGCCGCAAAGCTGTGAAGCGTTTCCCTTATCGCTTTTGAAAACTTWACCCGTCGCTTCGCCGCGCAAAAACAAAGCGTAAACTTGTAAAAAGCTGATTATGCAAATATTGTCAGACTACCTARGTAGGCAAAATTAAACGAACTTYTACTTGAACACAAACGCACGCTTAAGTTTGTTTGCTTTTTAAACTATTTTTATGAAGTTAGAGACAAATCTGATCCATCATCGATCTAACGATATGATAAAATAAACAATGTCCAAAGCAGACCAATATTTAGTTCGGCAAGAGATTGTTGTTTAGCGTTGAAATTCTCTCAAACAGTTTGATTCTTGTCTCTTTACAATAAGCTTACTCATCTATACTACAGATAAATTAATTATTAAGAATGCAAGAGAAAGTTCTTTTGAAAATAACTCTAAAGATTACTTCAGGTCAAATCTCAAGAGTTCACASAGTACGCCGGGCGGCATTGAAGAAATCGTRATTGGTCCTATTGGTCTGAAAATTCGCATCGGCACGAACCCAAAGAGGGGGACTTCGGCTTGTCAATAAAAGGTCAAATAAGCTGAAATTCTTACTGTGTTTCAAGGACAAATTTTAGAGCATTGCCAGAAATACATTGCTTTTTAAAACTCAAGTTCATATTAATCTTTATACATAGAATCAATGGAATCTAAGTTTCTTCGAGGTTTATAAGTTATAAAGATGGCAGAATAACTCGTTTTAATCTTACATCAAACCAAAAGAGTTTAGGGGTCGAGTCACATGGCGAATTTTTTTGCTACAAAATCAGACTTCTATTTACCAACAGCTGTTTCATGACTGAAAAAAAAAAAAAACTATAACAATCAATCGCACAAACTCACCGTATGATTTTTCCTGTATAGATTCTTACAGTCAGGCAAGACGCACTGGATTTTACTGGTAAAAGAGAAAATACAGCAGTGACCAGCACCTTCTATTCCAGCTCTTCTAATTCTGATTGGCTATATCAATGACTTTGAACGTGACAATGGACCTCGTGACATTCTGTCACCACAGGGAGCCGTATCGGGAAGAGAGTGTACGTGACGCGTGATTGACTTGATTATCAGGCTGGGATTAT